TATTTTTTATTTTGACTAGTCAATTATGCCAACTGGCGCCAGAAACCCTATATTATTATATATATCATTTTATTTTCAACTTTTGCTTTTATTATTTATTTCTTATTATTTCATATTTTTTCTTCATTTTTTCCTTTAATTAACTATTTAATGATATATTTTTTCTTCAATATTTAAAAAGTAGCAATTAAATTGGTGATGAAGGTGCATCAGGCTTAGGTTCTGCTTTAGCAAATTGCATTAATCTCTCAAATTTGAGACTTTACCTTGAGTAAAAACAGTTTATTTGTTTTGGATTGTGATATTTTAAACTATAAAAATGAATATAAAACAAAAAAGCTCATTGAATTTATTTGATAGCTTTTATTTATTTTATTTTTTTATCTTTTTTATTCCACTAATATTATTTTATTTATTAATTTAAAGAATAATTTTAAATTTAAAAGTTTATTCTATTTTGATAATTATTTTAAAATTTACACAAATTTATTATAAAAGTTTTTACTCAATGAATGAATCATAAAAGTTCAAAGTATTAAACAAGTTTCTTAAATCAAAAAGATTAGTTGTCTTTGATTACTAATGATAAAAAATTGGTGAAAAAAGGATGAATAAATATAAAATGTTTGAATAGTATTATATATTTAATTATATATTATTTTGAAAAAGTGTTTTTCACCTAAAATATAGATAGATAGATTTTATATTAATAAATATCATTCATATTTTTGTAAGTAAATAAATTATTTATAAAAAATAAAAAAATTAAATTTACTTAAATAAATTAAATCCTCATAAGCAAACCCTCTGGTTTCTCCAAAAATGATCAAATAATTTGAAACTTTTAGTGTTATATTACATTTTATTAAATTATATAAATGCCAAACTTTTATATGCCAGTTATATTTTAATCTTAAATATGATCCTTCAATCATATTTCTATCCTTTTTTTATTTATCATGATTAATTAGATGCCATGATTTAAATAAAACCTCAGGGAGAAATCAAGTTTCACTTTTTATTTTAACTTTAGTGGTCATTTTTTTCATTTAATATTTTTTAAAATCAAAAAATTATTGTTTTTTAAACTATCATTTATTCATTCAGACAATACAAATTTGATTTTTTTATTTAAGAATATTTAGAGTAAATTAATGAATTTAAAAGTCGTTGATGCTTGAATTTGGCTTTTTATATGCTTATTTCATATCAAGAATTTATGTAATTTTTTTTAATTTGGTATTATAAATTTTGGTTGGAGTTTGTTAAATAGAAGTACCTCCCTATAATTGATATTTAGAAAAATATCTCAAAACTTCTGCTTTTACACCTTCATCGAGGGCCAATATCAAGGATAAAACAGTATGTAATACATAATCCAATTATTTACTTGTTATATAAATAAATATTTTAAATAACATTTAGACATTTTATTTATTCACTGTCGTATAACTTTATTATTCTTCTTTTATATAACACTGTTGATTTCTATTCTATATCTATATTGAAAAATGTGAGATTATTACTAATTAATAATTTGTTTGGATTTCATTATGCAAATAATATTAAGTTAATCTTATTATTTGGGATGCTGTAAGCTTTTTCTTGAAGAAAATATCTTAACAAATCTTAATTCAAACAGCAACTATTCATAACTAGCCAATAAATTAATTAATTACTCATTTTTTTTTCATTTCCTCCATTATTTTATACTTCTTTCTAATTGTGATTAAAGCTAAAATAAAAAATTGATATCTTAAAACAATAAAATATATTTACATCTGAAGCTAAATATTTATCTTTGTAAACTGTGTTTTAAACATTAAATTTGAATTTATAAATGTTAAAGATGAAAATTCACTTTACTAATACTCACATAAAAAAAGGAATATTTGATACCAAATAATAAATAAGTTAGTTCATATATTCAAATCATTTATCGGCTAAAACATTTTAAGATAATTATTTTT